TCTTGAAGCTTCAGCATCACCTCCTTCACAAGGTCAGAAGAGGGTGAGAAAATGAGGATGTCATCCACATAAACCACCATGAAACTCCTCTGCTCCCCCTCGCCAAGCATGAACAAGGAGTGATCGGCCGTTGAGGGAGTGAAGCCGATCCCCTCCAACACTTCGCGCAGCTTCATGTACCATTGCCTAGGGGCCTGCTTCAGCCCATAGAGGGCCTTCTTCAGCTTCCACACTCTGCCACTACCATCATCAAACCCCTCTGGCTGCGCCATAAAAATCTCCTCCTCAAGGATGCCGTTAAGGAATGCCGTTACGATGTCCATTTGCTTTACTACCCATCCTTTGATGGCGGCTCCCGCGAATAGGGTTCGCAGCGTCGTCGGCTTCACCACAGGGGCAAACAGCTCCTTGAAGTCCACCTTCTCCTTCTGCTGGTACCCCTTGGCTACAAGCCTAGACTTGTAGCGCTCGATCTTGCCGTCGGCATCCGACTTGATTTTGAAGAGCCACTTGGACGTTATCGCCGTACGCCCCTCCGGTAGCTCCACCAATTCAAACGTGTCATTCTCCTCGATGCTCTTCAGCTCACTTTCCATGGCCTTCTTCCACTCCTCAGCATCACTACTCTCCAAAGCCTCCTTGAGAGTTGCTGGTTCTCCCGGCATCTCCACCGGAGAGAAGAACGCGAAGGCACACTCCTCGTAGTCACTCTCCTCGTCGTCTCCGACCATCATTGCCGCTCCGGCCAGGGCTGTCTTGCCCTGCTTTCCCGGCGCATCATAGGTCAGCCTATTAGGGGGTTGAACTCTCCTCTTCCCCCTTCCTTCCTCCTCAGCTGCAGGGACTTGAAGGCCTTGGCGTTGCTGCGGTGTGGCTCGAATCCGTGGAGCACTCGTAGTACGGGAAGGGAGTGACGGTGCACGCTCGCTCACTTGCTGCACCTCCTCCTCTTCTTCCTCTGCATCATTGGCCTCCTCTCCCCCATTCACAAGGGAGGATTGCCTTGTGGTTGTGCTGCCGCTGCTCAGCTCCAAAGGCAGCTCCACATGCTCCAAACCGGAACTCTTCACCTCCCCAAACCGCACGCCTATCTTCGCCTCATTCTCCGCCTTCCAATCCTTGTACATGAAGTTCTCCATGAACTTGCAGTCCCTGCTCACCAAGAACTTCTTGGTGAATGGGTCCCAAAGAAGCCATCCCTTGCTGTTTTGAGCCATGCCCAAGTGCACGGCCCACACCGCCTTGGCACCAAGCTTGTTGTGCCGAAGATGCTTAGGCACGAGCGCCATGCACATGCACCCGAACACCCGAAGCATATCCACCTTTGGCTTCCTTCCTAGCCACTCCACATAGGGCACCCATTTGTCTGCTCCCACATGAGTCAAGGCTCTGTTCTTGGCCACACACGCGCTCCGCACCGCATCAGGCCAGAAATAGTCGGGTAACCCGGCTTCAATGAGCAACCCGCGTGCCGCCTCCGTGATTGTGCGGTTCGCTCGCTCGGCGATGCCGTTCATTGCAGGGGAGTATGGCATGGTGAGGGAGTGCCGAATACCATTCTTCTTCAGCCACAACCCAAACTCCTTGCTCAGGAACTCTCCCCCTCGATCGGTGCGGATTGACTTGACTAGACGGTCTTGTTGCCGCTCCACCATCGGGAACCAATCCGTCTTCAACGTTTCAGCCACGTCGCTCTTCTTGGCCAGCACGTACACCCAAGTTATGCGGGTGTAGACGTCGACAATGGTGAGAAAATACTCAGCTCCAGCAGCTCCAAGCTTCAGGGGGCCCACCACGTCCATCACCACCTCATCAAGCGGTGCCTTTGCCGTTGCCTCCGAACTAGGGAACGGAAACCGGGTGAACTTGGCTTGAATGCACGTCGGGCAGCCAAGCACCTCATCGGGCTCCCCCTTCACACGTATGCCAGCAACCATCTCATTCTTCACTAGCTGCTGCAAGATGGGCAGGGCCACATGCCCCATGCGCCGATGCAAGGTGAGCCAATCACACTCCCCCGTAGCCGAAGTTGGATTGGAGAATGCCGCGCTCGCAATAGCGCCCCACATACTCTCTCCGTAGTCCTCCTCCGCTGCTGCCTCTGGGTTCTCCTCACCCTTTTTCTGCTCCTTGGTTGCTGCACCACTCTCCTTAGGTTCACTGAACTTGCTGGTCCCTCCAGGTTTGCTCTTCTTGAGCTCATTCTCCTTAGCGCGACCGTTCGCGCCATCGTCGCTACCGACCGCTCCATCCTTGGTGCTGATGCTTGCTGCCACTTGCCTCTCCTTAGGCATAGGGACCACTGGGATCTGCCACATCTCGTTGTAGACATCCCTGTCCTCATGAAGGTCCCAAAGAATTCGATCGCCAAGCCTTGCGGTGTAGGTCTTGGCTCCCTTCGAGTTCGTGTCCATGCCGGCCTTTGCCAACCGCCGCACGGAAATCAGGTTTGCAGCAAGGCTGGGCACCCAAAGCACGTTCTTGAGGCCCACCATCTTCCCATCAGCACCCTTGAACATGGCCTTGCCCATGCCTTTCACCTCTGCTCGCTGCCCCAAAGCCGATGTGACATGCTTCACCGGTGACGGCTCGAGTTCGGTGAGCAAGTCCGGGCGAGGTGTCATGCTATAGGTAGCGCCACTATCAATCACCCAATAGTCCAGGGGGTGTAGGGTCACCTTCCCCACAGCTGCTGGCTCCTCAAAGCCTTCATCCTTCTCTGGACCAGCCGGTACTTGCGTCGACACGAAGTAGAATAGACCCGGGTATCGATCGTCGCTCGGGTCCTTGTCGTTGTCTCCGCTCTTCATGTTTGCAGCTCCGCCACCGCGACCGCCACGGCCTCCACGGCCTCGTCCTCTCCCTCCTCCTGCTCCTCTACCCTCTTGGCCTTGAGCGGGGGTCCAACCATCAGGGAGTTTGTAGCAGTCGCGCCACATGTGTCCGCTCTTGTGGCAATAGTGACACTCGCCGTCGAATCGGCCGCGACCGCGTCCGTAGCTCTTGTCGTCGCTGCCGTAACCGCCACTCCTGCGGCCTCCGCCGAAGTTGCTGCCACCAAACCTTCCTCCCCCTCGTCCTCTGCCTCTTCCTCGACCATATCCACGGCCGATGCTCGCTGCCCCAGCGCCATCCGCACTCGCCAACTCACGGCGGCGGAAATCCTCTTGAAGGATAGCTCGCTTCACGTCTTCAAGCGAGAGGCGGGGCAAGTCGCGATTAAGGTTGATGATGAGCGAGGACCATGACTCTGGGAGTAAGGCCAGCAACTTGGTCTTCTTTTGGAGCTCACTGTAGTTCAAATCAGCTCCCTCAAGCCGCGTCAACAAGTCGAAGAATTTCTGCACCCCTTCTTCAACCGCTTCGTCTTCTTCAATTCGTAGTGCCGCCATTTGCCGTTCCAACACCACCGCTACCGCCGCTGTTGCAGGAGCATGTACACCCTTGAGAGCAGCCCATGCCTTTGGTCCTTTCTCTGGTCCACGCTGGAATGGCTTGATGTGACGGATCTGACTGCTCCCCAACGCTTGCCCAAGTAAGAGATAGCCTTGTGCGCTCTTCCGCACCCACGGGCTCTTCTCCGGGTCGTTCTCGGGGCGCTTCTCCGTTCCTTCCATCACCTCCAGCAGGTCATAGTGGTCAAAGATGTTCTCCATCTTGAAGGACCATTCAGCAAAGTTGTCACCGTTGAACTTGTCAAGCCCAAACACCCTAGGCTCATCCCTAGGTGGGCCAAGACTTGGTTGCATGGGCGCCATGGCTGAATCACGGGGTTGGCCTTGAGCTTGAGCTTCTCCACTGCCACCAGCACCTCTGCCACCCCTTTCCTCAGGTCCAGACATTGTCGAAACTGCTCCAAGGGGCTCTGATACCACTTGTTATAGTCACAATAAGCTTGAATGTGCCTAAAACGAAAGATAGAGAGCACAGACGGATTTCTGCACAGCGGCTTCAAACGTTGATAGCGTTCTGCTCACAGCTGCAAATGACTTGATTCAAATTGGATATGGAGCGTCTTCATGTCGTCTACAATTATCAATTTAGATTGCACGATTTGATAAAGAATTGACGACACAGCGTCAGTTTGAACGAACGGTACTATGGCAGCCACTATAGTCTTAGAACACAAGATAGGAAGAGTTACGAGTTGGGAATGAATCCCAGCTCCTACAAACCCCAAGAGCCGAGGTACAGTGATGTGGAACAGTGCCACACTGTCCCCAACCACGAAGGGTCTCGAAACTACCCTTCACTAGGGCCTACACCAAGTGAAATGTTACACTACACAAAGTAATGTAAATATCTTCAATATCTTGAGGTGTACCCTTTTTGGCGAGCTTCGAAATCACTTGAGGCTTGACACCAAGGCTCGGGCTCTTCATCACAAACTCATCCTTGAGTTCTTGATGGGTCTGCTGCACACACCTGCGACACGCCGAACGTTCGACACAGGACAAAATAGAAACCACGCACGACAAAATAGAAACCGCGCGCGAGACACAAACGACCGCGTAACACGCGTCTAGCGATAACTCGCTATCGACTCGACACACACACTCGACATCATGACTCAACATTCACACACAATTATAAGCATGAAATATATATTATCCCATGCCCTCATACCATTCCATACACACACACATTCACGCACACGGACAACAAGCCGAGTGCAAACCGTAGGGTTGCACCAACAGCAGGTCTCCAGCGTGGATCGCGAGGAGCGCTTTCCCGAGGCGCTCTTTGCGCTGCCGTCCCTGGCGCACGTGAAATTGGGCTACGTCGGGTGGCTCGAACCGCGCGACGTGACGGGTGTGGAGCACGCGAGGGGGGTCGCAGCGCTCCTGGGATACATCGCTCGGCCCGAAGACATAGCCGCCGCCGATTTAGCAGCAACAGCCGCAGCAGCAGCAGGTGCGGCCGGTGATACCGCCTTCCACACGGCATTCGGCCCGTCTCTGAAGCATCTTAGTATCTACTTGGACACCTCGCTTCCAGAGATGCAAGGGTACGGCAGGAGAGGCTGCACGCTTTCCTCGCGTCTCTGCTCACTGTCCTCCCTCACGCACCTCTTCATCGAGTGCCTCTCCCCCTCTGTCACACTCCCCTCCGACCTCGGCTGTCTGCTCAACCTGCGCTCGCTCTCCCTCTATGGCACCTCTCTCTGCCTGCCACACTCCCTCTCCTGCCTCGCCCCGTGCTTGCACTCGCTCAAACTGCACTACAGCGGCTACAGCGACGAGGACCCCTTACACCGGAAGCTGCCCCCCTGTCTCATGCTTCTCACCTCCCTCACGAGTCTTCACCTTCACAATATGTACCTGCCGCTGTCCCCTCCGCTTGCCTTTGCCCGCCTGCGCGCCCTCCGCACACTACGCATCGAGTATGACATCACCTTCCCCAGCCACGTGTCCTTTCCAGAAGACCTGGGCCAGGTGGCAGCCTTGGAGTGGCTGGAGCTGAAGTACTGCTCCATAAGTCCGGGGCTTCCGCAGTCACTCTGTGACCTGGGCTCTCTGCGGCGGTTGTACCTCGGCAGCAAGACTCTAAAGCACCTGCCCACGGCAATCTCTAGGCTGTCGCACCTACAAGAGCTAACGATTTCCTGGTGTTACAGAATGGAAGCTTTGCCTCCAGGGCTTGGCTGGCTGGGAGCACTACAGAAGCTGAGTATCAGTGGCGCGTCGGGGGATTACCTTCCTGACACTCTGGCCGGCTTATCTTCTCTCGAGGAGGTGTCTTTGGATCATTGTTCTGACGGTTTCCGCCTGCCTCCCTCCTTCTGCCTCCTCCCTCGCCTGCTCTCGCTTACTATCACCAGCTGCGATGATCTCACCACTCTGCCTGCTAGCTTCGGTTCTCTATGCTCCCTGCAGCGCCTCTCTGTCGACTCGTGCAAAAATTTCCACCATCTGCCCGACTCTTTCTCCTCTCTTTCTGCCCTGACCCTCCTCAGCATCTCCAACTGCCCGGGGTTTTCTCACCTTCCTGAGACCTTTGGCCTGTTGCCCCGCCTAACCCGCCTCAAAGTTGTCGAATGCGACTCATTCACGCACCTTCCCGACTCATTCTCCTCCCTGTCTACCCTCCAAGTGGCCTGCTTTAGCCTCTGCAAGCAGTTGCACTCCCTCCCCCCCACCCTGGGTCTGCTGCCTCGCTTAGAAGTGCTTCAGTTGAGGCAGTGTGTGGCACTGAAGTGTTTACCGGAGTCCCTCGGACAGGCGAGGGCTTTGCGGCATGTGGATGTGTATGGGAATGGTGTGGCAGAGGAAGGGGTGGAGGTGGGTGTTTGTGCGAGTAAAGTGCATGTTGTGAGGGGGAGGATGGGACGGGCGGAGCACGTGGGGACGAAGGAAAAGGGGAGGAAAGGGAGAGGTTGTGTGGATGTGAAGTTGGAGGAAGGATAGTGCTGTGCTGGCCCTTGAATGAGTAGAGGATGTAAGGAGCAATGGTACTGTATCTCCCGGCCAAGTTTTCTGTGATACGTTAGGAAAAAGGCAGGGTGGATGGAACAGTTCTGAAAGGCCCCCATACATTATGGTACTTGTTGTACTAAACAGCTTGTCAATGGCATTGAACATGAACAAAAGCTTTATATTATTCACTATTCACTATTCGCTGAGTGACTCTGTTCTACTGTGTTTCACATGCACCTATTGTAGCTTTTTGCTTCAAAAGCATCACGTTGCTAACATTAATGCCCTTTTCACTTCCAAAATAGGCTAATAAACACTAATTAATGACCTGTACAACATAAGGTCTCCCTCTCCAATCGTCTAAAAGCCTTCATGAAATGGAAGCACATGTTTGGAGCGTCAGGGACATAGTTACCCAGCGCACTAACAACAATCTTCAGATAACCAGCGTATGACTCAATATGACACGTCATGGCCTGCAGGTGGGGAGGCAAAGAATTAGGCCAACATTCTACGGTAATCGAATGCACATGACTTTAACGTTTACCATATCAATGCGTGTGCGTGCGCACCTGGTGTTGGCCCACTGTAGTTATAGTAAGTGCCGAAACAACATGTCCGGAGAGAGTCAGCTTTTCCTTCGGCCCTGCAATGTTGGAGACTGTGATTGAGGTTTGTTGGGACACCCTCGCAAACAGCCATGCCATCACCTGTTGTGAAGCACAAAAAGAGAGTATGTTGGAAACATGGGTTAAAAGGAAAAAAAGAAAGAAAAAAATGAGAACAGGTCATGGCTAACAGAGCTAGCTGAGGAAGATGCAGGTGTGTCGGAGGATGTCAGAGGATGTCAGAGGATGTCAGAGGATGTCTGTCAACAGGGAGCAGGCCCTGAGACAGGCCATGATCCGCGCACACCTCTTGTCATTTAGAGGATGTCAGAGGATGGTACTTTCCCAACCCTGTGCCCACCAATTACCCACTAGCCTTACCTTGCGACCCAGCACGGGGAGTGCGAGGCGGGCATAGAGATTGGTGAGATGGGCTTCCCAGGACACCTTCTTCTGCCCACACTCCGCCCTCACTCGCTGCACCTTCCTCACCCCCGTGCCTGTTCATCCCCATTCCCAAGCCTCCATTCCCGTCTTCCCAATCCCCCCATTCCCCCTACCTTACGGCCCAGCAGGGCGAGGGCCAGGCGGGCATAGAGGTTGGTGGGATGAGCTTCCCAGGACACCTTCTTCTGCTCATGCCCATGCTCCACAATGCCATTATCCCCATACCCATAGCCTCCCACTCGCCCTACCTTGCGGCCGAGCAGGGCGAGTGCGAGGCGGGCATAGAGGTTGGTGAGATGAGCTTCCCAGGACACCTTCTTCTGCCCACACTCCACCCTCACTCGCTGCACTCTCCTCATCTCCTTGCCCCCGCATGTGGTTTTTGCTTCTGCGCCGGGCGGTGTTGAGTGTGCCGGCATATCGATGACGTGGCTGTTTGTTACACTTGGCAGCACGGCAGTGGAGGAGGTCATGCCACGTGGCAGAGAGGCCAATGTGGCATGCTCCAGGATGGCAGTGGGAAGAGGAGGAGGAGGATGCAGAGGGGGAAGATGAAGCGAGATGGGGAGGGAGATGACGTTTATCCCAAGCTTATTGCCCCACTGAAACGGGGAGCACATGGTGAGAGAGACAAGAGGCACATGTGCAGTTAGCAGGGTCAGAGCAACATGAAACTGGTCAATATTGGGTTGAGAGAGGTGGAAAGGGATGGAAAGGGATGGAAAGATCAAGGTACCACCTACCACAGGTGGCCCCTTCCGTGTTCTTCTCCTCAAATCAGCCATTGTCACCGCTCTGAACCGAATAGCACCACTCCTGCTGCTCCTCCATCCACATGGCTTCTGATGCTGCTGGGTTGACTCGGGGTCGAAGCTGCCTGCTTGGTGTTGTTGCGTTGACCCATGAGAGCCATGAAAGCCGTGGTTACCGTGGTACCTGTGTTGCACGTAGCTCTCTATCCCGGCAGCAATGACTGCCATCATAAGGTCGTTCACAGTCTGTGGTGGGTTGGGATGGCAGAGAGATTGTTGAGAGGAACAAAAAGGAAAGAGAAAGGAGAGGAAAAAGAGAGTGGAGGGTTGTAACAAATAAGAGGAGATTGTGAAAATTGGAAGAGGAAAACTAAGGGTGAGGACCGAGGGGGAGGGAATGGGACAAAGAGGGATCATGATAACGGAGAGAGGAAAGGGGAGAAGACGGAAGAAAAAAGGTCACACTCCCACTCACCGCTCCAAGGGCCTTGCGAATCCGAGTCACCCGCTCCATCTCAATCGCCTCGGTCACCGCAAAGCTTCTCGGAAGCGTCCGCTGGTCCTGCTTTCGCAGTCTTGAGAAGGGCATGGCAGATCGGACAGGCGTGCAGGGGTGGTCTGAGAGGAAGAGGATGGTTAAGAGGAATTCAATCAGGTGAGCAACGGTGGCGATGGTGCATCTCCAAACGGTGATGGTGCGTTGCCAAGCTGCGATGATGCAGCTCCATGCTGCCAGGGTGCCATGATGTAGCAGGTAGCTCTGAGGTTTGGGGTTGCAGGTTGCAGTGATGGTGCTGTTTGGTGCAATTGAAGTAATAGCAGGTTTTTCAGCAGCCGGGGTTACTGCAGGCATTGAATCAGCAGGTGGTACGGCAGGTGGTACGGCAGGTGGTTCGGCACGTGGTTCGGCAGGTGGTTCGGCAGGTGGTACAGCAGGTGACACAGGAGATGATGCATCAGGTGAACCAGGAGCAGCAGTAATACCAGCTGGGATCGGTATGGTAGTGAAATGTTTCTCCTCTCCTATGCTGGTAGCAGTTGGTGCAGACATACACTCAGCCCCTGCTGCTTCGCTCCCCAGCCCAGACTCCAGAGAATCAAACAGCGCTGCTGGTTGAGTGGTGCCAGGCGTAACCATAGCCATTGCTGGTGCAGCTGCTGCTACTGCTGCTGAAGACTTCAAATCTTCATTCCTGGTTTTGGGGCTACTGCAGGGGCTATGGCTACCGCTGCTGGTGCTGCTGGTGGTGATGTCAGTGGCACTGGTGGTGATTTCAACGCCACTAGTGGTGTTGCTGCTGCTGGTGCTGCTGGTGCTGCTGGTGCCACTGATGTCACTGCTGGTGCTGGCAGTACTAGTGCCTGACCCATTCCTGATCATGTCCACTCCCCACGATCTGCCATTGCTGCTTCTGGCCCCATCCACGTCTCCGTCTGTGCTCCTGTCACTGGTATCAGAGAAATTCCGAAGCATGCCATCACCAGCAGTAGCAGCACCCACGTGACCTCCCTTGGTACCACTGCTGCTTTCTGCCGTTTCACTCCCTACCACACTTCCTTTCACACTCTCCACTTCATCCCCTTCAAGGGCTGACTCGTTATTGCCTTCTGCCGCCCCAATCACCATGCTGGTGTCAGCTTCTTTAGAATCAAAGGTTGGACTGGTACCAGAGTCGCTATCACCAAGAGAGATATCTGACTTGGACGGTCCAGATTGTCCGAAGGGAAGCGAGAGAGACTTGGACGGTCTAGATTGGCTGGAGAGGAGCCACATGAGGGACGTGCCATCGCCAATCACGTGGTGGATGCTGGTGTGGTGGGAAGAATGCAAAGGGAGGGGGGCAAGGAGGGTAAGAGTGGATTTCAAAGGGTTGCACATGCGACAAGAGAGAGGGAGAGAGGGATGAAGTATTGGATGAATCCCCTATATATTGCATGTGTGTACACCTCTACTATCAATGAAAGGGCCATTAGAGAGAGGGAGGGGAGGAGGCACATGAGGGAGGTTCCATCGCCAATAACGTGGTGCATGCTGGAAAGGAGGGGAGTAGGGATGGAGGCAGGGAGGACAACGGAAGAGTACAAAGGGAGGGGAGGAAAGCGAGCAAGAGAAAGAGAGGGAGGTGCCATCGCCAATAACGTGGTGAATGCTGGAACGGAGAGGAGCAAAGGAGAGGAGCAAGGAGGGGAGCAAGGGGGAGAGGGAGGGCAATGGGGAGTGGGAGGGGAAGTGGGAGGGCAGGGCGAGGGATGTGTGTGCAGGTCGGCAGCAGGTGCACTTGCCACAAGGGCTGTACACAAGTTGCATGGGATGGGGGTGTGACTGTAAAGGGGTGTGAGAGTAAAGAGGTTCACTTACCGGAAGACGGCAGTAGAAAGAGGAATGTGGACGCAGGTGGGGAGCAGGTACACTTGCCACAGCGGCTGGTTGAAATCAGGTTGACTTTGCGTCAACTCAGAACTCACCGGAAGACAGTGGTGGGGTGGGTGTGGCTCTACAGGGGGGGGGGGGAGGGTGGGGATTGGTGCTTACCGGAAGACAGCAGTGGGGCGAGGGATGTGTGCACAGGTGGGCAGGAGATGCACTTGCCACAACGGCCGGTTGAAATCGAACAGTGGGAGTGTCTGTAGCCGCACCACGTGGCTCTCCACACTGCAGCGAGGCACACTACAACGAGGATCTTCTGGCAGGCTCCCTTCATGCAAGATGGACGGCTGAGATTCGTCGGTGCTGCTGCAGGAAGCGCAGAGGGAAGGCTCCTGCACCACGTGGGAAGGCCAGTCCACGTGGGTGGGCACCCATACAGGCTCACGCCACCAGCCCCGGTGCTCCTGACATGGGCATGAAGAAAACGGGGGTAGAAAGGGGACCACGGGAGAGAGCACAAGTCAGACAGGCGTGCAGACTCCTCCTAGTAGGCATGGCTGGCCCAGTCCACGTGGGTGGGCACCCATACAGGCACACGCCACCAGCCCCGGTTCTCCTGAGATTGGAACATGGGAAGAGGACGGATGGAGAAAGAGGTATGAGGCAAGATACATAGAATGAAGCCTCCTTCCCCGCATGCGCCTACCGATAGTAATCACTCCACGTGGGTACATGGCACCAGCGCCAGTCTTATTTTGAGGCGCCTCGAAATTGACTCCCCGCATGCGCCGACCAATAGCAATCACTCCACGTGGGTACGTGTCACCAGCGCCAGTGCTACTGCTAGTTGAGGGAGGGTGAATGGAGACAAGGGAGGGATCAGTCAGATGGAGAGCGAGAGAGACGGCTGTTGGGTAAGCAGGATCGCATGGCATGGCACTGAGATCCAGTCACGATGCGGCTGGTGAAGCGGGGCTGGGAGGAGAGAAGCGTGCTGCTCACTCACCAAGGCAGTCAGCTCCGTCACTCCCATCGCACTGCTGCTCTACTCAAACTCCATCGCCATCAGGATGACCGTGCTCAGAGAAGGGTCCAGGAAGAGAGAGAGAGATGGAGAGAGACGCCTGTTGGGTTAGCAGGGACGCATACCATGGGACCCACATCCACTCACGATGCGGCTTGTGAAGCGGGGTTGGGAGGAGAGAAGAGCTCGAACCAAGCCAGTGAGCTCCTGCACTCCCATGCTGCTCCCCTCAAACTCCATGGCCATCAGGATGACCGTGCTCAGAGCAGGGTCCAGGAAGAGACGGCTGATAGGCGACACCGGCTGGAGGTCTTCGGGGCCTATTGGAGCACTGCTAGGGTACTCCGGGTCTTCTGCAGTTTTGTGAGTGACGTGGGGAGCGGGAGCAGCATCAGTGCTCTCCAGAAAGAGCCGGCGGATAGGAGACACGGGCTGGGGCTCTTCCGAGCCTGCTGGGCCGCTACTTGAATCTTCAAGGTCTGATGATGCGCTGCTTGGGACTTGCGAGTCTTCGCCTTGCTGCATGCGTGTTCTGATGCGTGCAAGGGAAGGAGGCCATGCACACTGCGAGCCTGCACCCTGGACCGATCCTCCCGCCTGCGAATCTGCATTGCCCCCGATCCCTCCTTCGCAAGTCCACTGTACGGGACGCATTGGCTGAGAATAATGTCCTGTTAAATCCTTCCTGAGGGACGCTGGGTCTTCAGAATTCAAAAAAATGGCAGTTGTTCGTGGCGAATCCAGTCACCCCGTTGGTGGCTCGAGTTGTGCAAGTAAACGGGGAGGAGTGTGACGGGAGTTGCTGAAAACGTTTTGAGGCGTCGAAATAGTCGTTAGAAAGACGGGGTTTTGAAGGATAGGTGGGTAAGCGCAGGAGAATGGAGATTGCTAGCTGTAGCCTTCCACTGCTGTCCTTCGCAGCGAGACAAACGAGTGAATGTAATTTCTGTCAACGTCTGCAGTAATGAGAGAACGAATTATGGTTACTAGTTCCACTACAAACGACCAGAGTGGTGTTTTGATTCTCCTAGAACTGAGAAAGCGACTGGTGCTGCTGAAGATGATGAGAGGGGACTGAAGGGGCATACCAGCAACGCTTGTAAGAAAGGGGAAAAAAAAAAAAACAACAACAACAACAACAAAAAACATTACCAAATCAACCAACGCTAGTAAGAGAAGCGGCGTGATGCCGCCTAAGATGCCGGAAAGGGAATGTAAGGGATAATCTTCCTGGCATTGTGTGCAAATCGTTGGGAGAAAAGTTTTGACAGCGACTTTTGCTGTCCAATGTGTTGGAAGTGCAGTTGTGAGGTTCAATGTCGAATGTCGTGAAATTGCATTTGCGCGGTTCGAGAGAAAACATCGCGAATCCCGATACACACCTTACGGCGAAATTCGCGATCGTGAGTTTCGAGATGTGACAGAAATTTGGGGATGGCGACATTTGGGGTCACCACCATCGAAAGCGTCGCAACTTCGCAAGACCTGAAAATGACCCAGGGGGGGGGATGGAGATTGGAGATCGCGAGTGTCACATCAAAGCAGGCTGTTACAGCCTACGAAACACTTACTAAATTGAAACTTGTGTTATGTGGCAGATGACAATAAAAATATGTTCAACAGGAAGCTGAAGGGGGAGGGGGGGTTATATAACTGCTTGACAATCTAGACATCCACCATTTTACTGACCATTTTTACAGCAGTCATTGATGCTAGAAGCAAATGCGCTTCACTCGACATCGTGCAGCAAGAGACCCAACCACCATAACAGGCTGTGGAAAGGCATCCTGCGCCATCAGTGAGATGGAGCCAGCCTGCGTAAGCTTTGCCATGAAGAGCGCCAACTTAGCTGCGTCCACGGGTCCTCCAAGCAGACCATCAAATGCGTCATAAGAGCGAAGAAACAAGTGAGTGAGGAGAAGGCACAGGTATAAGGGGACGCCAGAATTGGAAAAGGGTGGATGAGAGTGGAAACTAAAACAACAGTCGATTCCATCTCATCATATCCAGCAACATAGGACATGGACCTGCAGCAACAGCCACCATCCAACTTGGGTGACCCAAAGACCAGACGCTGTCTCATATCAGCAAAGTGGCAGCATTACAACATCCACATCACCTTGCCGCACTACTGTGTCAATCGTCATGCTCTGGCAGTAGGAGAGAGTGGTAGGAGACATACTAACTCCAGTTGTTTCTTAGGTTGAGAAAATGAGGAATGCTGAACGGGTGATTGGCTGCAGCAGCTCGCAAAATCCTGACAGAACTTCCCAACCAGACTTCACAGAGCGAACAATCACACGTACAACATCGGCATGCATGTGGCGTGCCCATCAGCCTCCACTGCTGATGCCTCTTTCAATGTGTGCAGCTCGCTCCAGCTAATTGTCCTGCGACTTCATGCTTCATGGAAAATCAGCAGCCTCGCGGGGCCTACATCGCGATGATGATTTCACAACCTAACGGGATGAAGAGCCCGTAGAGCATGTAACGGCGAAGGAGCAACCGTCCGAAACGGCCAGCTTGAAATTTCGGACGCCGAATGTGAGTTTCTGCAGGGTACGGAAACCGTCCAAGATAAACATTTCGGAAATTCGCGCATTACGTTGCCTACCGAGAATCGTACACGAACAAGAGGCCGGCCCGCCATTGCAGGATAGACAACTTGTCGAACTGTTTCACAAGCATAACGACGGAGTCATTTGCCTCCAGCCTACGCGTAGGATGCAAATGAACGCCTTCTCAGGCTAACATAAGCAAAAGCGTGGGTGAACGCGATGAAGAAGGCAGCTTGCAGAGGGAGAAAAAGGGCAGTATTCGCGCATCACGCCATCTCGTTTCTGGAAACGTATGGTGATCGTTAATGGACAAAAGCGGAAGGAACATTTTGGAGGTCGAACGGACAAAACGATTCCGTTGCCGGGACTTGAACCCGGGTCTCTCGGGTGAGAGCCGAGGATCCTAACCGACTAGACTACAACGGATGGGATCTCTCTGGTAAATCACAAATATAACAACATATCAGTTCCTTGGTTTGACTAATTTTCCCCTCCTGTCTGAACCACTACTTGCCATGACGATGTATGAGCTGTGAACGATGCATCACCCGCCCTTATGCTGCCTGTAATTTCGTCGTACGGATGAGTACGGAACAGAATGAGCAGGAAGCTAACATGGATTAGGCGTGGATGATGCCGCATCACCTTGATCTAGTTTGAATAGCGTTGGAAGAGTCAGGGTGGTGATGTAGTATGGTTGTCGGCAAGGCAGTGGAGACACTTCCATTACGTCGAACGAGACCAATACAATTCATCATACGCTCCCAACGTTATCTAGAGGAACCCGATCATTTGCTTATAATTACATGAGAATCGGCCAAAGCCATAACAAAGGAATCATGCAAGAGGGGGAGATCGGAGCAACTTCTTGGATCCTTTAATTCATGTGATGTTGAGACCGTGAAAGCGTCAGGCTATGGGTGGTGATGTAGTATGGTTGTCGGCAAGGCAAAGGAACACTGCCATTACGTCGAACGAGACCAATACAATTCATCATACGCTTCCAGTGTCCTTCACAACAAATGAAAGAGATATCGCTGCATATGAGAGTTGAACACAAAAGGGACACGCAAGGGGGGATAATGGAACACCTTTACTCCGTATTTGGTAAACCTTCCCTGGATGGAAGCATCAGGCTATGGGTGTGATGTAGTATGATTGTCGGCAAGGCAGTGAAGGCACTGCCATTACGACGAACGAGACCAATACAATTCATCATACGCTTCCAGTTTCCTTCAGAACGAAATGGCGAAACAGATATCGCCGCCTATGATGTCATGAGAATTGAACACAAAAGGGATGCGCAAGGGAGAATAACGGAACACCTTTACTCCTTATTTGGTGAATGTTCAATGGATGGAAGCATCAGGCTATGGGTGGTGATGTAGTATGGTTGTCGGCAAGGCAGTGAAAACCGCCATTACGACGAACGAGACCAATACAATTCATCATCTGCTTCCAAAATCTTTTATCGCGGAGACCATATTGTTAGGCGCGAATGCAAAGAGTAAAATATACTTCAAAGCAAACACGCGCAAAATCGACTGGGGGCCTAGTGATGAGAACAGAGCAGGGAAATAAAGGCGAAGGCGGCGACGCTTTGGAATGCACACGGGGCTTTGCAAGAATGACAAGTGATGGAAGGAAGGAAGCGATTCTGGGTTTGATTGACAGAAATTGAAAGCCCAGACACTGGAGCTGGATATTTCTAGGCGGAAGCAGATAGCGAGAACAGCAGATGGGAGGGGAGGAACAAAAATGCATCGAGATGATCCATCAGTTCCGCGGTAAAAGATGATCACAATCCTACAATCTGAAACCAAGCAGCCTTGCGTTCCAAGCCTAAAGGAAAATCATTTCATTTACAGCATTAATTACATGC